TTTAATTATTTTCTGTGCATATATTGAGTTAAATTTGCTTATAATTAATTTTATTGTGTCGCCTGTATTGAGTTTGCATTCCTAAGTTAGAATGCATGTGCGTCACTTTTAATGAACCTATACCTTGAGTTGACCATAAAGTATACGCCTAGTTGTGGTCTTTCACGCCTTGAAACTTCACAAGCTTAGTCTAAATTTGTGTAGATCTTTACTTAGTATGTGCATTTCTAGAAAAATTGCTGCATGTAGATTTATGAACTACAATTTAGTAATTTGAATTATTTGAATTTCAAGGGACTTAATTCCTATTAATATTGTGTGAACCATATAATTTATTGTTTGAGGTATTAAGAGGACCTTCCAAGGTTATAGTGGTCCCCTGGCATAAGGGTGATAGAGTCTAGCTCCAGCCCTAATGAGTGCTAGCATATTTGGTGGATTTAATAGGATTGTGATTTTGATATAAGTGTTCTGTTTTGCATTGTGATTTTGAAAGATATTGTTATAATCACATAAAAATGGTTAAACTCACACAAAAATAATATAAATATACTTGATTTGACCATTAGGGGTAGTTGATAGCTATATTGGTTTGTTAACTATATTACTTAACTATAATAGTTAAATCAGCCTATAAATTTATGTTTTCAAACATTTTAGTAACCATATGCTAATAAAAGTAGATAAACTAAGTATTCTTACTGTGTTTTGTGTGGCAATAACAATTCTTTATATGGTCATAACATGACCCATTTTGAAATATTTTTGTTAATTTGTGCTTTGAGTTAAGAACTCAATTGAAATTAAACTATTATAAATTCCTAATTAATTGGATATGGATTGCTTGTGGTGCCTTTCTAGCTCACCCCTTTATATTTTCCCCTGCTTTCAGATGACGGTTTAGCAAGCTTTGGGTATGTTCCTTTGATGCCTACTGTGTGTTGGAGTTGGAATTCTCATTGTACTCGGAAGTCAAGCAAATCGACTAGTGGTTGCTGCTGGTTATAGTCATTGGATAATGATATATGACATTCTAATTTGAGCTTTATTCCGAGTTGCTTACATGCATCTTGTTATCTGGAGTATATCTATGAAATTCATGAACTCAGACCGAACATCCATCCTCTATGATATCTCTATGTTCCTTTGACACCCGTTTACATCTTAAATATATATAAAAAATAAAAAAAATTAACATTAATTTTGATATTAGTGTCAAGTAGATTTTTTTTTATATTAATCTCTCATCATCTGATTGGATTTTGATTAATTCAAAATCGAGCTGTATCGGATCTTATTAGGAGAAAATTTTTTCAGCGCCTATTTTTTCATTTATAAAACTTAAACCTGAAATATTGCTTAAAGAGAATCGAGTCCCTTCCACTTGAATCAGCAAATAATTGATATTAGTCTTAAATAAATGAATTTAATTAAATAATTAATAAATTAATTATTAATTTTTATTTTTTTAATATAAATTTATGATAAAAATAAGTATCAAGCATAGATTAAAACAACACTAACTAATATTACTTTTTAGAAAAAATGAAAAAAATTAACAATTCTAACAGAATATTAGTAAGAGGATAAGTTCTTTTTATTGGTATTAAATCTCTAGTGTCTAAAAATTAAATTGGATCTGATTAATTTAAAATCGAGTTACATCAAACCTAACACTTGTTTTTTGATTCATAAGATTCAAATTCGAGATCTTATTTAAGAGGAGTTGAGTTTTTTTTTTATTCAGATCAACAAATCATTAATATTAATTTTTGATAAAAAAAAGTTTTATTTACAAACATATATTTATTAATATTAAATTTTGTACAATTAATAATCTAGTTAGACCTAGTAATTAATTTAAAAATTAACATAAAAATTTTATATAGGTAAAAATTTTAATTTAAATTAATTTTTAAAATACTATTAAAATATAACGTTTCTAGATATATCCTATAAGAACAAGTCTTACAAAATACTTTTCTTTTTAACAAAATTTGATTAGAAAATTTACTCCCTTTATTTCAATTTAATTGACTTTCTGAAAATTTTCTTTTTCTGTGTTTCTGTTTATTTAAGGTTCTCGAAATTCAAAGCATATTCAGTGTTGAATCTTCCAATTCAACCCTCCACCATTTGAATATTTAGTTTTCTTCAAATTCTGCCCTCCATTTGAATATAATTGAAAATTTAATTTCCTCTTTTTTTTATGCAATAATTATCTTCTTTCAATTTAAGACATGAGTTTTTTATCTTAAATATTCATATAATTGCACTCATGAGTATTCTAGTGGCAAAAACCATTCTAAAGCCCCTGGGCTTTTCCATTATCTCACGTAAGCTTTCAAAGAAAAAAATGGCTTGCAAGCCTTTAAATCAAAGAATTCAATACTGTTTTGTACCAATTAATACAGTCAGTATATACCAATTTTTCAAACAATTCAAAACGGTATAAGTTTAAATTTTGTTTCGATCAAATTTTGAGAATTTTGGTTAAATCTTGATGTATTAACTAATATTTTACATACCGATTGGTGCATCAAAATTTAAGCAGTACACATTATGTTTAAATTAAAAAAAAAAAAACATAAAAGAGAATTTAATCAAAACAACGCGTTTTGGTTAGGGGAGATTTGCAATTCTCCCACCTTGTCCTCGTGGATGCTTTACAACCGCTGCTCTCTTTCCATTTCTTATTTCGCAAACCCTAAAAATTGAATTCTGTTCATATATCTCTTCATCACTCTCTAGCTTGTCTCTTAAAGCATTTTGTTTGCTTCGCATTTTCTGGTCAATTTCGGATATTGACAACTTTGCTCGAAACAGCTTTTCATTTAAGTTACGTCATCATCATGGCAATGTGGAGCACAAGATCGAAAGCAATCGGAAATTATATCACGAGATGTGCCTGCAGCAACGGCCATTTTATGGCCGGCCTAGTCGACCACCGAAGCAATCCTTTCAACCCATCTCTAACCAGCGGGGTTGTAGAAACCTCTAGACACCCTATTTGTATTTTTTTATTTTTAAAAATGCAATTGTCTTTGTTTAACAGCTTGAAATATATCTGTAAATATATCATCATCATTTTAACTATTAAATTTAAAAATTAATAATAATTAATAATTTATATAAGATTTATATATATCTAAATAAATCCCAATTCATAATACTTAAAAAGTAAAAAGTATTTTATATGGTAGATTGTATAATAGTAAATTCAAAATATTGTTATATTTTTTAATATTATATTAATGTTAAAAAAATTTATGGATATACTTGATCATTTCAAATTTGTTTTCAATTTATAAAAATATAATGGTTTTAAATATTATTTTTTTTATAATTATTTCAAATTTTAATATTTAATTTATAAAAATATAAATTTGTAACAAAAAAACCAAAACGATACACAAAAAATTTTAACATCCAACATGTATTGTTTTAGTAATAAAACCAATATATATATAGATACACTACTAACTACTTTGCTTTAAATGTTTTGATTTGAGCAAATTAACCATTATATTAAGGACAAAATCATGTGCAATTCGTAAATTAAATAATTTTTTTTCTTGTGTGACAATTTATTTACACAAAAACTAATAACATGCTTTCTAAAAAATTTGTGACAAATAATTAACCAAAGAAAAAAGTTACTAAAAGTGCAATTATTGTTAGCAAAAAGTAATGTCAGTAGTGTTTTCAAATGAAATCCATTTGAGGACTAGATGGAACTCTACTGCTGTAGGAACTGTATGATTAGATCAATATGAGCTTTGGCCTAGTTTTGTTTCTTCTTTAAATGCAGCATGAAGTCTCAATACTAGAAGACTCATTCTAGAACCAATTGGAAAGAACAAGAGGCAAAGCTCATTTTCTATTATAAATTGCATTATGAAATATATACTCCACAAGATATCTGCTAAGATAATCACGCAAAGCAATCTTATCAATGCCTTGATGGTGATAACTCTTAAATGTGCACCAACAATCCCCCACAAGGAATCCTTCCACCACAATTAATCCTCTAGAAAAACCCCATAATTCTCTCCTCCATACCACTTGCCCAGAAAGGCTATTAATCACTGCGCAGATTGCCTAATTAGCCAAAATCCCGAAGGCAAAACATCTTTACACTGCCCTTAAACAGACTCCAGGAGCCACACCCATTGTTGTAACTTTAGTACTTCAATAAAAAAAAAAAAGAAGATATATTATATTTTATAAATTGAATTTATTTTTTTTTTATAAGGGCTTAATCAATCTAAGAGTAGTGAGTTCATTGTCTTACTTAAAGGCATATTACTACTTAATAATTAATTGTCCAATTTATTTCAGTAATTAACCAATAAATGGTGATTACAAGATCAAAATTTCTAAATAAAACATGCTATTTTCTCAATAGAGAAATTCCTCTACATTAGTCTACTTTCTTAAGCTATTTATTTTTCTTTTTCTAAATATATTTTAGAAAAAAAAATTGTCTTAAATTAAGTAACTCTATAAATAATACAAATTTATAAAATGTTATTTTAAAACTATAGCATCATAGGGTTGACATGACATATATATTTTTACTATATCGATAGACTTACTTTCCACAAAAACCTATATCACCTTAAAATAATAAGTAAATTTTTTATACTTTAATATATGATATTTTTTGTATTGATATTTTATTGATAAATTCATTAATTATTATTTTTATTAATTTTTTTGATCGAAACACAACAATAACACAATGAAAGAATGAAGAAAAATGTTGGAGGAACAAAAACCCTTTACACAGCCAAAATGCCACCAAGACGTGATCTACCCACAAACACCCATGAAAGTAATCATCATAGAAAATAACCATCATAACCATACAAGACGACGACAACAACAACAAAAACACATGCTAGGTATCAATAGCAATAGACAAAAATCACCATCAGGAGAATAATCAAAATAATATTGCAAAAAAGGTCAGGTGTACCTTGGATACGGTGGTAATCGTGGAAGAAAAAGACAAGGTTTAAACAGCTTCCTATCACCTTCTTGTTGATGATTTTTACAATGCTTTTTGGATTATTTTCCTACTATCAATCAATTCCTAGGATGGGAGAGTATTCCATTAATTCAATGTTTTTAAGAAATCCTTGCCTAACTAGTAATATATATATACATATATATATGAAAATTTTACTGTGTAAAATAAAAATAATTAAATGAGCGATAATAACTAATATTATAGGTATTTATTGATTTTAATTGTATAACATTTTTTTTTCTATATATATTTGCTTCTGTAAACTATTACAGATATAGAAACAAATATTTTCCCCTTTCTGCAATGGAAACTTTCCTGCTTCTGCTTCTTGATTTTGTGCATATCATTCCGCACACTTTCGAAGTTTCCTCAAAAATGGGAAGCTCATGGCCTTCATCAGCCTTCTAATCATCTCCTTCCACTCCATCCTTAATCTTTGCAATGTCTTCTCCATCAAACCCCTGATTTCTGACTTGTACCTCAAGCAAAGCTTAATGCCCCTTACAACCCCTGGAACCCCAGAATTTTTCAACCTCGTCCTCAATCTATACAAGGATGTCAAGCTCTTCCTCGGAGTAGAATTGATCTTCATTCTCATCAGCTCAGCTGCCTCCTCCTTTTTCGCCATTGCCACCACCTACACAGCCGCCGCCACTCACAGTGGCAAAAAATTGTCCATCAAGGCTTTGACATCAATTACTGTAAGGTCCTGGAAAAGGCCATTAGTTACCTGCTTTTACATCACTCTCCTTACTTTTGGCTACTGTTTTCCTTGCAGCATAATTCTCCTGCTGCTAGTCCTTTTAGTCATTACTTCAAAAGCTTTAGCTATAACCCTTGCTGTTCTATTTCTAATCTTCTATGCTTACTTAGCTGTTGTTTGGGATCTATCCTTTGTGGTTTCGGTTTTTGAAGAGAAGTCTGAGATTGAGGCACTTGGAAAGGCTGCAAATATTGTCAAGGGCATGCAGCTCCAAGGGTTTGTTTTGAATCTTGGGATAATGGTGTTGTCTTTAGTTTTGTCCCTTAGTTGGAAATTGATGACCAAGCAAACCGCAGAGATGCAAGTTATTGTTGGAATTGTTGCGCTAAATTCCATATGTTTGGTGCTGAACATGTTTGAGTACATGGCATTAACAGATATGTACTACCAATGTAAAAGGAATCATGGAGAAGTGGTGGAGCTGAAAGGAACAGTGGAATACAACGAAGTATCATCTTCCCCACTTATTGCTGTGTGACAACTGCATAGTTCTTTATGTTTTTTCTAAAGGAAGTTTTCACACAGGACACACAGAGCCGTGATAAACAGAAGCATGGTATAATTGGATTTACAGAGTCAAAAAATTAAAGTTACAATAGAAGGAAGCACCTCCCTGTGAATCAGAGTTACAGACAGAACATGTAAAGAATCTTGAAAGAACTTACAAATTGATGAATGAAAATATGAATGGAGTGCACAAAAACTATTTAGACATCGAATTTTACACCTAATTCATAGCTTGCCTACTTTCTTCCTCTTCAGCGTTTATCCAAGCAGCCTGATAACAAACAAATCCATTAAGACACAAAAACAAATAACATCTCACATATATCACTGAAAATTTCCAAAAAGAAGAGGGAAAAATAAAAAGGAAAAAACATAGCTAGCAAACTCAATAATAACTTGCCTTGTCCCGTTCCAGTTTTGAGATATGTGGCTTGATGGAATTTCCTAAGCTTAAGCCTCCCCATGCTTCTTGCAGCTCTTTCTGCCTTGCTTCTCTACGAGATACAGAGAGTCTAATCGGTTCTTCTGGTTGCACAGCAGCAGCAGCCATTTTCTCTTTCTCCAGTCTTGATTTATGTTTAACCAAAACTTTGTCCAGACTATCTTCTGAATTCACCTGTGGCATGTTTATGCCAGTTCTCTTTACCTTCACCACTTCTTCTCTCTCACTTGACCTCATTTTTTCCCTCTCTAGTCTAGAAACATGCTTTACTAGAACTTTGTCCAAACTTTCACAGTCTGTATAGTTGGTTCCACCTCGTTTCTGTTTATTTTCATAACTGCTTCCTGACGACAATGCTTGCATTTTCTCCCTTTCTAGCCTGTGTACTGGTTTCACCAGGATCTTCTCCAGACTGTCTTCATTCTTCTGGTTTCCAGATTCTTTATACAACTTCTCAATCATTAAAGACCCACCACCTGTCCCTTGAACTTCAGTATTCAATTCCATATTTTCTTTTTCTCCATTAAAGAAGGAAGCATCTTTCTCAGGTAGAACTTCATTAGCCTTCCTGCCTCCCTCAACTGCATTATTTTTTCTCCTATTTTTTGCTTCCTCCACCTCTCTTTCAAGTCTCGTGACATGTTTCACTAGAAACTTATCCAGGCTGGGTACTTCAGGAATATCAGCTCTCATGCGTCTAGGCAAACCATTTGGCATTCCCCCAGTTTTCTTGCCATTCATCTCAAATGCACTCCCATTATTCCTCTTGGTCTCTTGAATTTCTTTTTCCAGTTTCGATAATTTCTTAACCAATATACTTCCCAAATCAGGCACGGATGTTGATGATGCAGTATCTTTATCTGAGTTCTTGTGGTCTGTAACAGAATTCTCACTAAAGTTCTTTTTGGCCTCTTGAATCTCTCTCTCAAACTTCGAAGAATGCTTCACAAGAATGCTCTCCAAGTTTGGAGCAGCCTCTGATGAAATTGTTTCCTTATCAGAATTGACAATCTCATGTCCATTCCTCTTGTTCTTGGCTTCTTGGACCTCCTGTTCCAGCTTCGTCATGTGCTTAACCAAAAACTTGTCTAGACTTGGGAGTTCTGACTCAACCTGCTTTTTCCTCATTGGACCATCAATGGGGTATTCATTATTAGTTTTTCTTGTTCTGGATCCTGCTGTAGACATC